CCCAAACTTGGCCGGCCTTCTGCCTTTTTCCTCATCTGAATACCTGTCCTCAGGCTCTTGTCTCTGTCCATATTGCCCATCACTTCCCCTTTCCCCTGTTTCCCATTTCAGTCCCCAATGGCTGCCCCCACCCATCTCCTAGGTCTCTCTCCTTCAGCAACCTTGTCTCTACCTAACAACCGTCCTCTTCCTCCCTTTCTGTTCTGCCCCAGCCTGTCCCCATCACTGTCACCCTGTCCCATCCGCTTGCCAGCCAGTGTCCAGTGCCCATTTGTCATTGCCCATGCCTGTCCCCGTTTAGCTGTTGTCCTCTCCCACACCCTATCCTCATTCTTCTGGTCCCTCGACCATCAGCATCTAAGTCTCCACATCTCCAATCTTGCCCCCATGTCTACCCTTGTACCCCACGCTTCCACCCAGTACCCAATTCTACTCCCAGTCCATCTCCGCCCTAGTACTCACCTCAGCCTGTCCTGTCCACTCCCTCTCCCCTCACGCACTGTCTTTATCCCAGCTCCCAGACAGCCTTCACCTCTTCACCCTTCCCTGACCTGAGCAGTGATGGCTCTCTGCTTCCAAGGACTCAGTGTGCTATTTGCTTGCTTCCCCAACCCAGGCCTAAACTGTTCCTTCCCCAAACACAGGGTGCCGTCGCCTCCCCTGATGTATCTCAAGCTCATTCTGACCCAAAGGGAAGAGAGAAGCAGTGGACTAGTCTGGAGGCCCAAGGGAGGTGCACCCTGCAATGCGGCTGAGGGGCCCCCCAACAGCCTTATTATCCTCCCTCCCAATTCCCAGCAGTCCTGTCCCCAAAGAGCCCCTGCCTTCCGCCTTGGTGGAGTTTGTTTAGCATCAGGAGGTGGCCTCAACTCCCCCTCAGGTGCGTGGGCCTGCTGCCTTGGGGCAAAGTGTTCCTGGCTGAGTTCCTCCCGAACAGGCCTGAAGGAGTCAACCACCACACACCTCCACCTCCCACCCCAGCTGACAGCCAGCCGGCTAGCCTCTCCCCTCTGCAAATGTCACCGAGCCCAATTAGTTTAATTAAACTAGCTTTCAAGTTAGAGGGGGTTCCATCCTTGGACAGCACCCCCACTCAGGCCCTTAGTCATTAGGGGGATGGACTCAGGCAAGGGGCTCCCTTACCACACCTTGTCTCCCTCCCCCCATCCTGTGCTCCCAATCCACCGCAGGAGACTGAGTGGGCCACAGAAAAGTCACAGGGTGGGGGCACTCCCCAAACTGGAAATTAGAGACAGAGATTGAGAAAAGAGTGGGGGGAGAGAGAGAGAGATGGAAAAACAGCGAAAGAGGGAGAGCAGGAGAGGGAGAGAGAGCCTGAGCGATCAAGGAAGCCAGAGGGAGGATTTTATTTTATTTTATTCCATGTTCCCATTTCTCGGCTCGTTTCCTCTCAGACTCTCGCCCCTCCCGGTCGGCCCAAGCTCCCTACCCCCAAGGTCGCTTCAGCTGCCTCCCCCCCGCAGCTCTTCTCTCTTATCCTAGCAGTCTCCAGCAGTGGGGTGGGGGCTGTGTTACCAAAGCCCAGGGATTTGCCAGGATCACAGAAGCAGACAGCAATTTGTCTGGGATCAGAGGTGGGGGGGACATCCTGGCACCTTTCTCTGCCCTGCCAAACCTCATTTCCACCCCATCCCTTCCTCTTAGGAGACTGAACCTACCAGCCCTGAGCAATCCCAGGCTAGGTGCAGGACACAGAGTGCTAGGATGTCCTGGGAAGTATAGCTGGAGGCATTTGGCATCCTAGCATTGAGCCAGCCGCTTTGGGGGGAGAAGGCTGGGAGAGCTGGAAATAAGACTTAACTGGAAATAGGAGAGGTTTGGTCCAGAGGGGGAGAAATTGGGGTTAAGACTTCAACAACAAACACACCCTTTGCTTCCCTTGAAGCCTCACCCACTCCTACCTACAACCCCAGCTCTACCTGGGGTTCAATCCTACCTCCTGGGGCTTCTTCCCTGCCCCCACCCCTATGCTAAGCCTCTTTCCCCAGCCCTACTCAGGTGTACCCTCCGGGTGTCAGATGCCAGCTCAAGCTTGTCTGAGTCAATCACTGTTGCCACCTCCACCCGCCTCACCTGGGCTGGGAGGAGGGCTGGATGGGAGACGGAATAAGGGGGGCGATAAATATGTATGACGTGCGGGTGGCGGCAGCATTAATAACCTGGGATAGCAGTGCTGCGGGGACGGAGACCAGGCAGTAGAGTGTAGCCCAGCTCTGCCATTCTGTCTCCTGCGGACACAGGGGTGTATGCAAACAGGGGGTCACCCATGCTTCTCCTCAGTCTCTTTACCCCTCTATTCTCAGTATGCGTGCCCTAGCATTCATATGCAATGTGTGCATGCTTGTTGGAACACACACTCATCTCTGTGGTATGAACACAGACCACTGTCGCTGTGGAGATACCCCCTTAGAAAGACCCTGACACATGAACAAGTAACAGGGATTTACAGGAAAAATGACCCCTTTAGACAATCACACAGCCACCCTGCACACAGGCACACAACTACCACAGCTATACACACACAACCACAAATTGACACACAGCTTCACACACACAGATTGGGGCATATGCATACCCCACCCCCAAGCCCCAGGTAATCCAAGCACAAATACACAATGGATGGGCAGCCACAAGTAGATGGGAAAACACACACACACACACCCCACACACACCGCCTCCTCTTGCTGGCATACAGACAGACACATACACACAGGGAATCAACGCAGCCACACGCACAGCCTTCACAGACCGAAACTACCCCAGACAGAACACATGGACACATATACACAACCATTTCAGGATAACAACCACCCCAGGCACACACAGAACTGCCTTTCCCAAGGGATTTGCTTGCAGAGCCCCACTACTGGTGGTGTCTAGCACTGGCTGACTGACACTCTGACATGCTCTACTCCTCTCCCTCCCCTTCTCGTGCCTGCCTGCCTGCCTGCCTGCCTGAGCAGCCTCTCCATATTTCTTCTTCTCACTCTCCCATCGCTCTCCTCCAGCTCCTTCACTCCCGGCCACCCCCTCCACACACACCCCAAGATAATTGATGGCCCGGGCCTGGCCCTGTCGCTCCCGCCTCTCGATCCATCTTGTACTTGCATCAGTGCTGTCTCCTACATCCCTGCCACCAGAGACAGGCCAGCACGGTGGGCTGGCAGGGTGACTCCTCCACACTAAGGAGTAGGGACATGAGGAGTGCCCTTTTTATTTCCCAGCTTCAACCTGTGGTCTGGGATTCTTTCTAGTCTGTTCATTTGGTCCTTAGAGGCCCCTCCCGGTAGGAAGGCGCTGGTCTTTGCAAAAGCCAACCCTTTCCTGATGCTGGGTGTTGAGGGTGCCACAGTCAGGCCCATCACAGGCCGGACTACCCAGAAAGGGTCTCCCCTATTTCTCACCCACACCAAAACTGTCTTTGTCTTTGTGCCCACACTGGAGCTCTATGACAACCCAGGGATCGTCAGGTCATTTTCACAGGTGCAGAAGTTAGGGTCCAGACACATGGAGTGACTTGGCCAAGATCACAGAGCTCGAAAGGGCTACAGATCTAACCCAAAACACTCCTGAGCCACCGACCGCTGTGGTCTGCCTAGTCCAGCGTCTCTCTCCTTTCTTCCCACACAGGCGGTCAGTGGCCAGATCGCAGAGTCGGGAAGGCCGCAGTATCATCTGGAACTG